TTTTTTTATTCAAAGAACACCTTACAAAATGTCAACAAGAATATATAATGAGCTAAAAATCGTCAAGAATCAACAAACAATGGGATACTTGAGTTTTTAAATATATAGTAATTAGCACAGAGTTATGAGGGAAAAACAAATATATGTTTTTTTTTAAATTTGTATAGCTTACGACTAAGTATGGTTATTATTTCACCAAACGAATTAGAAAAAATATCGTCTCATGCTTCAAAGAATATGATTTTTGCTTGTATAAACATTTTTACAAAATCAACATGTGAATGATAGCGTAAACAACATTTATAATACAATTTTCATACTGAATCCCGAAGAATGTATTGTTCGGTAACACACGTACGAAACAACGCAATAAAATAACACAACGCAACTTGTATACACTTTAACTTTAATATAATATTAAAACACACGCTTCACGTCTCAATCGTTCTTGCAGCTAATTTGCTTACTCTGTTTATCTCCCAACATAGTTTTTTTCCCTTTTTAACCTTTTTACATTCAGTTTGTATTTTCATTTTTACGTGGATGAGTCATCCCAACATTACATATAAATACCGCAATCCAAATCATAGAAACATGTCTATTTATACTTATATGTAAGTTTTTCTTTTTCTTTTTTTCTTCAACTACTCAACAGCAATTAGATTACGAGCTTTTGACTTTTTTGTGGAAGGAAGAAGACGGAGGGAAAATTAATGGTGTCACAAATGATTGGCCATTTGCCTCTTTTGCCACTTTTTTTTTTTTTTTTTCATACCAATATTCGACCTCATCGCATTGGAAAATTGACGAAGTTGGAATGCCTTTGGTGCTTCATAATTTACTCGACTCTCTCGTTTTCCGAGAAAGCAGAGGTTTTATTCAAGGAAAAATCATCCGCGTAAGTCAAAGCTACAATTCAAGTACAAGTGTGTAAGTTAGCGACGTGAGTGACCAAAACAAAAACGGTGCTACCATTTACGTCCAGACAATATCCGTTAGATTTCCCTTTTTATCGTGTTCACTTGTCGCTCAACCAACTTTTTTTTTTCGACCCTCAATTATCTTTGGCACGAAAGAATTTGTAAGCTTGCATTTTCTCTACGTTATATTTATATATCACATCGACGATGCTCTCGTATAATCCGTGTACACACCATAACTCTCTCATCTCAACTCGGTCCTCCTCTCCCCGTATAGAATCTCTATGTATTATCTATAGTATTTTACAGTGGAAGTGTCGTTTATTTTTAATAATAATAATTTTTTTTTCTGTTTTTTTTTTTTTTTTTTTTTTTTTTTTCTCATAATGCTCACAATAATTCGTGACTAAGAGATGTGGCATAACTAGCTTTTAATCTTCGATTGGGCGAATCGCGTATCAATGAATTCCACCGAAAGATGTGCCTCTTCGATACTTTCCGCCGTTCTTGTCACCGCACTTTGAAGCAATTTTTATTTTTTTACTTCAAGAAGAGAATAAAGGTAAAACATACTCGCTTTTTTTTTTTTTTTTTTTTTTTTTTTTTCTTGCTCGATCTGACTTTCCCTACAATCGTTTTTCTTCTAAGTAATTACGATAATGATTGGAAAAACTTTTAAACCTAAATACATTCTTGTAGTAATTTTAATCATCGAAAGGATACCTATGCTAAGGTGACGCCTCGAGAAACGATTTTCCGGTGGGTGAATGTTTGAGAAAAGTCTATTTGACTTTAGCACTCGCTGAAAAACGATGCAAGTGGTCAGTTAGTCTCTGAAAATGGCAAGATTTATACATCGGTTCGTCGAGAATTTTTCGAAAATTCAAACATCGCACTTTAGGTAGCTGATACGTAACAGATCGAACATGGATGGAAGAATGGCGAAATAATTAAAATGAACCCTTGATATTTCTTTTTTTCGCACATCGTAAAGAAAAAAAAAAAAAATTGATGCTAGCTGCTGCTGCTTTTTGTTAAAATAAAACTTTGACTTTGTGAGAATACTCGATTTATTTGTGTTCTGCTGCGATAGGCTCGACACTAGCTACCATCTTTTGTTTTATTTGTTTAGATATAACTGATTTTTTTTTTTTTTTTCTTTAATATTTGGTTTAAAATTACTTTCACTATGTGACCTCTGTCGAACAGCATGCGAGTCGCACTTTGATCTCGTTTTAATTACTTTTTTTATTTATTTTTTTTTAAATTTATTTATTCTTCATTTAAAATGTAAGAAGTGAAAAATTGGAGAATGTGTTCGGGAATCACCACTTCACTCATCATCGCCATCGTTATCGATGCGACACGAGCCCTTCCCATGAAAAACCATTTTATTTTTTCCCGGAAAAATGCGGAAACGCGTCGTGTCGCCAAGTGTACATTTATCGCTTGTATCATCTTCCTCGTCTTTTGTTTCGTATAGTTGTAATTTCAATTCTTAATCGCTAATTGTAATATTTATTAATATAATGTTTACCTATAATTCATATGTACAAATTGTAAAATGTCTTATTAATGTAAAAGTTGTTTCTTTTTTTTTTCTTTTTTTTTTTTTTTTTTCATCTTCATTCAAATAGCAGTGTGATGTAGGTAGGTCACTCGCGCGAGCTCTCACACTTTCTTTCAAGTCGGTTTACTTTTCACTCAAACTGCTTCAAGTCAGTTAAATTTTTTTTTTTCTCTTTATAATTCTGTTGCACGGAAATCGTATAATGTTTTGTACATCATTTTTTTTTTTTTTTTTCTTTATTCTGAAAGTATTATAAAGCCTATCACGTGGCAATTACATAGATTCGGAACAGTTTCAAAGGGGTGACTGTGGTAATTTTTAGCCAAGTATCGAAAGAAAATATTACTTTTTCTACGGATGACAAAAAAAATGTTATTAACCCAAGCTGTGTATCTGGCAAATGTTTGCTGGTTATACTGAAGCCATACGTATCTAAAGCATCGATAATGTTTTGTTGCTACAATTTATATAATTTGTTTCGTTTTATTTAAATTTTATAAATGAGAGATTGAAATTTTTTTACGATTACTACAATCACCTCTCAGGATATGAAATACTAACAAATTTTTAACCCAAATTTTTTTTTAATATTAAAAATTTTGGGTTTTATCCGTAGATTTAAATGACAGTTCATTAAATTGTGATATAAGATTTTCCCGTTGGAAAATAACTGATGCCTTTTTTTTAGAAATCGACGCATAATTTAACTTAAAAAAGTCCTCACATGCAACATTAAGACCTTCTTGATTATAATTAATGATTCCACTCGTAAATTTTTTTAGTACTTCACACCCATGGCTTTAATTAAGACGTGTAGACTTTTACCATCAAATATGAGACGATTTTTCGTTCATACGTGCACACGTTGGCACAAACATTCCTTTCTTCGGCACAGTTTTTTTTCTCCTGCTTATACGGACGCGCTAAACACACTTTCTATGATTTAATACAAGACAATTTTGCACTCGCCTTGCGTCTCTCTTCGATTGTTTTTTCAAGTCTTAGCTATAACTATCATGATCCTTACAATTTTTTGTGTCATGTTTTTTTTTTTTCTTTTTTTTTGTTTTACTTACTTAATATTAATAATTCATCTTATTCACATGAAGAAGGAAGAGCTTTTTTTAACACGTCACCTCCTTCTTATTCGTAGAACATCTTTAGGGGAAAAGGCGATTTTGACGTAATTAAATTTAATATGTATATGTGTGTGTGTGTTTTTTTTTTTTTAATTTATTCATTACCTCTCATTCATACACTCGTTCCGGCATCCCGTGTTCTTATTCTTTCGATTCTCTTTTAACATTCCCACGTAATTATATAATTATTTTTATTTTTTTCATCGATGCATAATGTTTTACACAAGCTCGTTCGGTTTTCGGCCGAAACGATCGATCGATCGAAAATATGCTTTAGTACACTCAGTGTGCGAAGTTCAGCTTCTGGTGCCTACAGACTAGGTTTTAAGTAACTTGGAATTCCCGTTGATGAAGCCGTACCAATCAGATGACCTTCCTGCATTTGGAGATTTTACACTCGCATAGCATTGGATTGGAAATTTTTGGGGGTATCCTGAGAAATTTAGCGTTAGGAATGAAGATTCCAAGCTGTTTTACAAAAGCATGTTTAAATTTATCGAAGACGAGAAATAAAATTTTTCTTCAAGCCAGTTTGTCTTTTACTTCCGTACCTTCGTTAAATTTATGGCAGTTGGAAAAATTGTTTAAAATAAACGCCCTAAAATCCATCAACGAAGCGTAGCGAACTTCTCACACTCGTGTCTAAAAGTATAACGTAAGCAACATATGTTTGACTATACTGATTTTTCACTCGTGGCTTGGTCATCCCTTGCATTGTTCTGGCGACAATGTTCATTGCGTTTCTTCAATCACCCGCTTAGCGCATTAATTGCATATTGTATTTGTTTGTTTCTTCATTATCGAAAGAAGAAAGAAAAAAATGATGAAAGAAAAGCCTAGGATCTCTCTATCATTATTTTATGTATGTAAATATGTATACATAGCTATAGTTTTTATGAACTTTGGTGAGGCACCACAGGGGAATCTATTTTAATTTACTATACAGAAAAAAAGTCGCTTCGATCGTTGTGTGTCTTATATTATTCGTTTTAATTCAACGTGTGCACGTCACCATGTAGTGAGATTCGCAAGGAGTCGACAAATAAGTTTTATTTATTTATCATTATTATTATTATTATTATTATTGTTATTTTTTTTTCTTTTTGGCAAACTTATACATGTCCATCCTTTGTATTCGCCGCTGTGCACACACCTCTCGACTTGTCACTATAGCTACAACTTTAATTATCCTTAGTCTCGATATCGACTCGCTTACGCGATCATTTCGTTTGATAATACAACTATATAGTAATTTCTCAGTATAATTGTTACTTCCGTTTGCCTAGCTACTCCCTTATATCTTTAACTAATTATCGATCGATTAAAAAAAAAAATCGTTTCTCGTTTCGCTTTCTACCGTCTTCTTTACGAGGAAGAGGAAAAAAGAGAGATTTTCATTTTTTGCTCACAATCATCAAAGTTATAATACTTATTTTGTATAATCATTCATTTGCGCCGACAATTCGGCGTTTTACTGTACTTAACGTTTTGTTTATAAAATGCACTCATAAAAATCGAAATACCGGAACATTTTATTCCCATAAATGAAGTTTTACTTTTCCATTGTACTTACACGCGAGTAAAGAAATGATCCGAAAATGAAATAACAAAATAATCTACACAACGTTTAAAGTCATCCTCAGATAAGCGCAAGCCAGCAAGCAAAGACCACTCCGCGTTTGAATACTAATGTTAACGGTGTCAGATCTCTCTTTTCCCCTTCCCTGGGCTGCTCGTTTGGTATTGTTACAATCATCATTATCGTTATCAATGATATAGTAACGATTATCCCGGCAAGACAATCGAGGGGGCTAAAGAGCCCATGGTCGTCCGAGCGGCGTCAACAGGTCCATCCCGGGGTGTTCGTCGTCGATCCCGGCCTATACCGATCAGATGCTGGCCCTGCTCTGGTAGATCGGGGTCAGCTGCAGCAGCGGCGCGAGCGAGGGCTGCCGCACCGCGAACTCGTGCTCGAGCAGCTCCGCCGCCACCGCGGCTGTGACCAACTCGTGGTGCGAGCGCTGCTGGTGGTGCAACAACCCGGTGTCCATCGGCTGGTGTTGGTGATAGTGCGGATGGTGCTGTTGCTGCTGCAAATGTTGTTGTTGTTGTTGGTGGTGGTGGTAATTGTCGTCGCCGTCGTCGTCGTCCTCGTAGTCGGGGGTGATGGTCTCGTCGTCGATCGAGCTGCTCGGGTGGAGGGGCTGCATGGGCAGCAAGTGGGATATCTTGCCGGGGGAGCGGCGCACCGTGAACCGCGGCCTGCGGTGCTTCTTGTAGAAACCGGTGCAACGACAACTGCACACCGACACGTCGTCGTCCAGCGAGACCGTGTCGCCCTGCATGCCCACTTGGCCCGACAATATCGACCCGTTGGCCGTTATCACGTCGCCCTCCAGCCGCACCGCCCCCTGCGCCGCCTGCAACCGACACACGAGTGAGTGTTTTTTTTTTTTTTCATTGTTTTGGAGGCTAAATAGTCACTCTTATTATTCACCATCGTTTTCTTTTCTTTTCTTTTTTTAGCTTTATTCAATCACGTATACTTTGTTACTCGCAGCACTTTAAGTACAGCACTGTAATGTTCTTTGAGGGGAGGGGGGGGGATTTATTGGTATTTACGATTAAAATGGAGGAATCTCAGTAACTATAAGGGGAATGACAAAAGAAGGAAAAAAAAAAAGCTGAAAATTTTGTCCACGATTGGCCAATTGCTTGGGGTGAAAGTCCGCTTACCTGGAGAGCTTCGGCCTCGTCCCGCCTCTCGTCCTCCGTGTTCATGGTGACGAATCTGAGGACGAGGAGATTGAGCGAGGCTGCGACTATCGCCAGCCCGAAGAGTATGAAGATCAGGGCGAACATGACGTACTCGGGCTTGTCGTCGAGGGCGTTGTCCTTTTGCAAGGCGACCATGTCCCCGAAGCCGATAGTCGTCAGGGTTATGAAGCAGTAGTACACCGAGTCAAAGTACGTCCAGCCCTCGTAGCGGGAGAAGGCCGCCGCGCCCCCGGCTATCGTCAGGATCGACAGGGTCGTCACCACGCAGATCAGGTTTATTTCCGAGGCCTGTGCTCCATCATTTCATATACAACGTGTATGATAGTATACGCAAGCCGCGCCCCTCGATTTTTCAATTCATCCCAACCAGAGCAGAAGTTAAGCGATTCCTCGTGAATATACAACCAAAGTTATATTTTCGCAAAGGATTAAACTATACGTTGCTTTAACTTTTGCTCAGCAACGAGAGTCGTTTCCGGGTTGGACAACAAAACTCGAAGGCGCCAATTGTGGGTTGATCGGCAGTGCTTTGCATGCGATTAGAAAGTTATAAGGTAATTCATGTTTACGTACGTCGATGTTTTTGCAGTTGAGTAGCCGCTTGACGTTTCGTATGACGACCGAGGAGAATTTGTTGAGCCGTTCTCCTATGCTCTGGAACATGACGAGGCCCAGTGGTATGCCGATTATCGCGTAGAACATCGTGAAGAGCTTGCCGCCTATCGTGTTCGGCGTCGAGTGCCCGTACCCTGTGCCAAACCAACGAACGAGAGACGTTCAATCGATGGATCACCAAAACATTAAAAAAAGTTTCAACACTTACCAATGGTCGTGAGCACGGTGATGGCGTAGTAGAACGCCCCGGCGAATTTCCACTGCTGGCCGGCCTTGTGAGGTTCCGTCTTCAGCACGACCGTTTCCAGGATTTTGTAATCGTCATCGGTTATATTGTACTTGCGCTTGATCATTCTTTCGATGGCTGAAACGACGTTGGAAGATTAATTCGTTTGTTTTTTCTTTTATTTCGATGGAAGAAAAAAAAATTCTCTTTCGAATAAAAGTTTTACTTTATCGCGAGCATAAGTATACATGTATCGGGATAACGAGGTTGGAGAACGATGTTCCAGCGAAAATTCGCTCGAGTCGTGTGCAGAAGTGTATGTGTGTGCGAAATGACAAGTGCCTCGGAGCTTCCGGCTTTCGTGGCAAGAATTTTGGCCGACAGCCATCGTCGCGGGGGTTTCATCGAGAGTGCTCCAAACGCTCTATTTTCCCCCTACATCTCTTTCTGCACTCGAAACCGAGTGCATTTTGATCGAAAGAAAAATATTTACGCGGCTACTTTACCTTTTTATCTATCCCCGATTTCGGTGTTTTGATATCAAATGCGATTTTTTCGTGCATCAAATACATTGTTTATTGTAATTTTAATTAGGTGGACTCCATGGTACTCTGGAGATATGAAATACATCAATGGGTTATCAATAATTAGCTTTTTGCAGTTTCACAGTCTCATATTTATTCGTAATACTAGTTGTTTCGGCAGTTAAGCCATTAAAAATAAGGAAATTGTGAAACTGCAAAGCCTTGTAATTATTATTAATAACCCAATGATTAGAGACATTTTACAAACATTAAAGCGAGAACTCTATTAATACTACTCTTTTAATTTTGGGATCCATCGTAATGATATACTGATTGAAAAAGACAAGTTCACAGTAATGTCCGACCAAACTCGATTCTTACTACTTGAAATAAATTGAGTCTTCTCTACATTGTTTTTTCCACGTATAACAAAACGTAATGACAAGTATATTTAAAAGACAAATCGTAATTTGAGTTTTGATTTCTCAAGTAATACGAATCCAAAGAGAAGTTTACAGTCGCGTCTGACTAAACTCGACTCTTACTACTTGAAATAAATTGAGTCTTCTGTAAAAAATTTTTTGGCTTATAACAAAAGTGTTAAATGCAATGACTTGTGTCTCTATAAGATGACGGGTAATTATCGAACTGTAAAATAGATATAAATTCAAAGAGGAATTTACAGTCGAGTCTGACCAAACTCGGCTCTTACTACTTGAAATGTAATAATTTGACTTTACGTTTATTTTGTTCTGCACGAAGCAAGTCGTTATGGGCAAATTGAAAAAAAAAAGAAATGGATGAAAACAAGTGAGTGTTTGTACCGTCAAGAGCCTCCTTGCGTTTTTTCTCAGTCCCGGACTCGAGGACGTCGAAGATTGCCGCGCCAATGAGTAGGTAGGTAAACGTGCAGACGATCAACGATATAGTCCGGACGTTTTGCTTCTTCATTCTCTAGTGAGCCACATGCTCACCAGCTGGGCCTCGGCCCCAACTACGCGCATCGCTCAGTGGGACAGGACAAGCGCTCCTGGCCGCGGCGCGCCCGCCCGCGGTCCCCCGAACTCATGCCTGCCGCTCGCTCTCACCGTCTCCCTTGTCGCCCGTCCCGACGAACTTTCAATGATACCCCGGCACCTACCGCCACTTCTCGCGTCACTCAGCACCGTCGTCGTTGTCCCTGCGGCTCCTACGTGCTGCTGCTGATTCGGCCTTCCGTGACACTCGATCCGCCCGCAACCAATACTTCCTTCATCTGGAACAAATCATATACTCCATTTCTAGTTTTACCATTGTTTGTGTTCAATTAAGATGCAACAGGGCAAGCTCAAGGAACAAAAATGCAGTTATGGCATTGAGAAGAAAAGCCTACTGCGTAGCAATTATTGTGTTTCTTTCAATTGTTATTTTTTTATTTTCAAATTATCTTCTGTTTATGAATTTTGGGTGAAAATTAGCCATCATGCGATAGCGAAGTAGATCCTATCGAGGGATAATCCAACTTTATCGAGATAATTGAATATATGATACGCTAGTTAAAGTCGGCTAGTTAAATGCAACAAACTGAGATTAAGGAGGAGGTGGACTTTAAAGGCACTTACTCGCAGCTCGGCGCTCGACACTCGCGGTCGTCCCCAGCGTCTTGGTCCTCGTCGTCCTCCTCGTCTTTGGCGTGGCCTTTGCGATGCGAGTCCCCTTGTTGAGATGCGTCAAGAGCCCGAGCAGAAATTTATGGCAGTGCTCTCGCTGCTGCTCCCACTGCCACGAGCCCTCCATTCCTCGGCTTAACTACGGTCTGTGCCCGTGGCTGCTGCTGCTGCTTCGGAGCCGCTCACTGCAACACGCAACATTAAACACACGTTCGTTTTACTATAGGCTCATCGTCATCATCATCACTAAAATTGCAATAGTGTCACGGACAAGTGTCGGAGCAACTGATGGGATGACTTTAGGTACATGTACGTATGTACAACATTAGATTTTTAATCTGCAAGTGGGAGGCTGTCTCAAGGGTCGTTCAATAGTGACTATTGGCAAAGTGTAGGGTAGATTGTGTTCTTCGATGGAGTTTTTGATGACACGCGGGATGTTCCGCGTTAAAACCGCGAATTTCGATACAGCGTCGACCCTAGGGAAATAATAAATAAAATAAAGCACCCGGATGAAAGTACAACGAACTTCGACTAGGCTTTTTGAAACGCTAACATCGTCAGCTAGCCTGCAACTCATGCAGCAGAGACTGGCATTATGTTTCCTGTAGCCGTGAAAGTGCCTCGAAAAGGAGAAGCAAAAAAAAAGGGTAATTCGAAAATCGTCCTGCACATCAAGTGGCAAAAACCCGCATCAGCTGACTCTGCAGGGCAGAAGCGGTTTTGTTCCCTTTGATATATAAAACAGTTTTAACACGCGAGCCGGACATGAAGCGCGAGTGTATATCCATGGCCCATCTCTCCATGAATTCGCGTACCAAGGCACCGTCATCTTTTATTCATCGACACGGCTCGCGTATCGTATGAACACGTACTCTTTCGTCTGCACGGCGAGCATCCCACACACGCGTAAACACGGGAGTTGTTAATAACCCGGGGCACGTTTTTGCGCACAAAGTATAGGCGCGTTTATCTCGTCCCTATGCGTCTACGAAAACATAAACGTATCGTTGGATGGGTGTACGCGCGTGCGCCCATCGTGGACCCTTTATTGGGGATGCCACAGGTACGCGATCCGATATCTCTTCCGGTGCGTGCAGTGCAAATGCCTCATGAAAGATTTTTCTTTTTTTTTTCGCTCACATTGATTCTGTACTCACAAGCGATTACCAGTAAAATGGCTCGTGCGAAATTTTACAGAACAAAACCACGTTTCGTGCGTTACAATTCGGCTGCACGCGTGTGTTGCAGTTTCGTTTTAAGTCATGCCCCCATTCGTTTGACCGGCCATCCGAAAACGCCGACGCGACGAATTAAACGAATCCTCGCCGTAAAAAGTAAGCAACAAATAAAGTCCAACGCGAGACTCGGCCGACTGTGTTCTCTCCAACATTTTGTTAATCTCGTGCACTTCGTTATAACATATATATTTGCGCGAACAGGCGTACACGAGGCTGTAAAAAATATTATTAAAAACAGCCTCGTAAACACACCGAGGATTAGCGCCGTCCTCTGGTTTTTATTTCAGTTCAATGATCTCGGCATTTCGTTTTTTTTTTTTTTTTTTTTTTTTTAAACCTTTATGTATTAACTTCACGTGAGTTGGTGCAAAACGCTGCGAAAATAAGTTACTCACACCCGGTCGCGAACCAATCGATTCATCGCGAGCCTATAATCGCCTGTACAGTATAAAATTAACTCACAGCGCATAATCCCTGCGGGCGTGCCCGAAAAACCTTGTACCTTCGTGCCGCGCCGCGTACAAAGTGTCATCGGCAGAACTTCCGGGAAATCTCCAACTTCCCGCCTCCGGCGTGGTTTTTTTTTTTTTTTTTTTTGCACACTTTGAATTCGACGGCAAATTTCTCGGGAGAAAGGCTACGTAGAATCAATCACACGCGCGCGACTTTTCTGGCGCGTACAACGCCTACGTGTACGACTTTTGAGCCCAGAGATTTTCCAAGGGAGAAACGGCGCGCCTCCGCATATGAATAATACATCCGTCGGGCGCTGCTCCCCGTTACATATTCCGCTTATCGTAAGGGCGGACTCGCGTCTTGGAATGTATTCATCGGCGATCCTTTTTTTTTTTTTTTCTTTATACAATCGCTTGCGCAAAAATTCGAGGGAACGCTCGCTCTTCGGGGGTCAATTTGCCGAAACTACCGGCCCCATGGCAACTAATTGCAATGCGTCCAAAAGTACTTTGGAACCCGACACGCGTCGTGCCCTCCGCGGGAAATCGAGCGAAATTCGATTCGATCGAATTTTCAATCTCGCGCCCATATACCTCCACCTGCGTGCGTACACGGAACGTATTTTTATATAACGTTGCCTCTATACGCACGCTCGACGTTTATCTCCCCCCCCCCTCGTCCCGAAGCCGATGAAAAAATCCTGCGGATGTTTATATTAGATTCCCACCTCGATATTGCACGTACATTATGAAAAAAAAATCACACGTACTGATTCGGATCTGATCATGAGAAACGTTAGTATGCCCATGCAAGGGTACAACAATATATGCTCCCGTGAAAATTGAAACGAACGAAAATAAACTTATCGTGCTCGAGTATATATAGATATACACACATAACGCGAGTCTGACGTCACTGCTGTTATACCCGTACACAAGCGAAGGAAGGAGGGGGGGGGGAGGGAGGAACGAATTCGAAAAGCTCAAACCCACTGCGGCAGCGTTGGTTGCGCGAATACAGCGAGGAGAGACGAGTGCGGTTCGAGGGGATACAGAGTCGACGCGCTTCGCCGAGCCATTACCGGTGGTGGATGTGTCAGGAGAGCGCCATGTGCGTCCCGGGGGTGCGTACGCCAGTGACCAAGTTTGAGATCGAAGGGCTGACCGAGCGTTGATCCGCACTACTTGATTCTTCAATATCCCTCCCTCGACATATTATATGCTTTTCGCGTGACGATAAAACACCTCCTCGACGATCCACTGCGTAATTGAAGCACTCGAAATATCTCGGAGCTGCCGTTTGCTCGGGAAAACTTTGTAATTGAAAAGGCAAAGTTTCCACAGCAGCAACATTGTTTAGCCAGCCCTCACAACAGAGCAAGCGAGCAGACATATTGCAGTGTTGTAGCCACGTAGTCCTTGCAATCACGCAGGAAATGCAGCAGCAGCAGCTACCTCCCCCCCGTTTTGCGTATACGCGTATACATATATATATATATATATATATATATATATATATATATATATATATATATATGTTTTAACTTTGAGCTCGTCGGTGCTCTATGTGTACGCATAAAACTCCACCGAGCAACACTTACACAAGAAGCAACTGCACAGCTTCACCGCGAAGCTGTCCGTGATAATAAAGTTTTACACGCGTGTACGCCAAAATTAATACATGTGTGCTGGACAACGATTACAAATATCGAAGTTGACAAACTGATGTTGAATGTTTTACTACAATCTAGCTACTTTGACGCAAGCCCTATCGATCGCGCATAATAATATACTATACTATACTGAACAAAGACTATTAGTACTGTGCTGATTAGCTAAAATAAAATAAATGAAAAAGTTTTAACGAAAAAAAGGGAAAAAATGACCCATCATCTCGGGGATAACTACACACGCCCACGAACTTTGGGTAGTAATAAGTACATCAGTGACGGGTGTATACGTTTCGGGCTCGAGGGTGTGGGTATCGCATCGTGTCTGGGGACATGCTCGCTCTGGAGGATGAGTCGCGCGGACAAATGGGCCAATAGACGGGACAGTTATTAAGAGGTGACAGCAGCCCCGCAGGGACGGAGTCAGCCGTCTGGTTCCGGGAGCTCATTGTGTGCCATTTCAACTCCGTTGCTCCGACTGTTGCTGACCACGATACGTATTTATACGATGGTCGTGCTACCGATTGGACTTTTTGTATACGTTTATCGAGCACGCGCGGAGGGACAAAAGTGCCATCAACCCTGAAATTCTTTTCCAAAGTGCTTTTTTTACAAGCTCAACGATGTCAACCGTTAAATCTTTTAAAATATCTTACTTACTCAAGAAAACATACGATTATACACGTCGATTCTATGGACACAAAAGGCTTTATTTTATTCTCATCCACAGCCCAGTCGAGTGGAAAGATCCTCTCTCTCTGGCAGCAGTAGCGGATTGAGGAAGCGACGCAGCTTGAATTCAGCTCCAACGAGCCCAACTCGATTCTGACGTGGCGCGGCGCAAACGTATCCATCTACCGATGAATTTATGGGACACGTGGAGCACTATGACGGAACACACGGGAGGCACGCTTGTCTGCTCTCTCTCTCTTTGTAGGTGTGTGAAGCGTGTCTGACCACACGCGGACTCTATCTACTGTTCCCGAAGCGTTGAAACGGCGTATCCGGCACTTTGCCCTGAGGCTTTCTGCACGGATGTCCTTTTCGATGGTATTTTATGTGTGTGCGTGCGTGTTTGTGTACATGCAAAGATACGTGACGTTGCCTTTTTTTTGTTTGGTAGGGTATTGATTTTTCACGGCAGGATTTCACGTATCGGATTTTTGGAGTTCCAGGAATTTTCGGGGAACAAAAAGGCCTCGTTATCCTCTTGCTAGACGATTGATGGGAATTTTGTATCGGTAATGCTTTTAAAAAGAAATAGCACACATCTGAGATTCTTTTCAAGGAGCATCATTGAATAAAATAAAAACTGATGACAGATTATAATTTTCCCGCTGTACAGCTTGTGCAATAAAAAAACGGTAAGATCAGTTATAGCGTGTCAAATGGATGGAATCAATTGTAGAAGAAGGAGGCAAAATTTACCGAACATAACTCGATAAAACTGCTGGAGCGAACGGAGTTGCTCTGTCATTGTGATTTCTCGGTGCTGTGCGCCGTGCATACATCGAGTTCTGATTGCACAGAGGCAGCGAGGAATACCTACGAGAGAAAAATCAAGGACAAAGTTTGAGGAGGGCGGAGAATACACCTTTTGGCACGAGCTCAAAGCTTCACATAAGTCTCATTTCTCTTTTATACACCACTACTCCATAAGCACAAAAGCTTAGCTATACGACAATGCGCAGTACACTCGAGTGGGTGGAAGGGATTATTCGACTGTATTTTTGATAAAAAAACAACACTTTCAGTCCGTGGTGGATTGGAAGAGTTAAAAATATACATTCCTCCGTAAGTTTGAACGAG